GCCCCTCCCCAAGCCAGCGTTTCTACATTGTGTCACTCTGTGCCACATGGTGCTGGGGTGGGGGTGGCACAGACGAGGTGTCAGTGCATGCTTGTTAAACTGTACGTGTTAACACTGCAATTTTCCAGATGAGGAAAGTGAGAGTCTAAGGAGAGAGAAACTATACCAGGGTGGCCCCAACCATGTGGGTTCCTGCCATGGCGAATCTGCTCCTTCTGTCCCTGGGCCTTCTGGAAGCAATTCAGGTATGGCTGTCCTCCAGTGGCCCCATCCCTGCAGGCACCCGAGCTGTCAGGTTCTCCCGGACCCTGGAAGGAGGAGCAGAGAGATGAAGGACTGGGTGCTACCCGCCTTGGGAGCACCTGGCCTGAGGCTGCAGCCCCCACCAGGGCCCTAGGAAGCTTGCGGCTGTGTGTCTCAGCCCTCCTGTCCCCCTGGGTGTCGAGGCCCCTTATGCCATGCTCGGCAGTAGAAGCCCCAAGGCATCCTGGCCACTCTGTCTCCTGCAGGCCCAGTGCCTCCTGCTCTAAAGTCCAGACCTCTTCTCTCAAGAGACAGCGCTGGACATGGCCCTGGACTCCTTTGATGACCAGTATGTCGGCTGTGCCGTGGCCATGATGGCTGCCTTTCCGCATCTCCACAAGAGGGAGTTTAAGGCCGACAACCTCTGTGTGGACGGCTGGTTGTTTGGAAACTGCAAGTGGCGGGAGCTCCATGCACGGTGCCCTGCATGGCTGCCCCCTTGCCTCCAGGATTCTGGGAGGAGCATGGGGTTGCCCTGCTGGCCTACTCAGTCGAAAGCCCCCATAGGAGAAGTTCAATGCCGCGGTGCAGCATGCGGACTGCTCCTGCGCCCACTACCGCCAGCACTTCTCCTTCAAGACCCTGAATTTTCTGCTGACCGAGGCCCTGCAGCTGCTGGGCAGGGACCAGCTGCAGTCCGGTGCCGTCATGTGTTCTGGGGGGTGAAAGGCCTGGGCTTCCGGCCATCAGGGCCCGGGGCCACTGTCAGGCTGGGGGCTTTGCCTCTTTATCCCTAAAGTAAGATGTGGCCACACCGTTCGGAAATGACACCTTATTCAGCATCTTGACCTGTATCCGCGTCCCTATCCAGGGCTACTCCTTCTGCACTAGGGAGGAGGAGATTCTGATCCCCCTGTTTGCAACCTCATCACCGCCAACAGACCGGCCCACGGCCATGCCCGCATCTACCTGAAGGCGCTGGGCAAGCACAGCTCATACAACTGCGAGTACATCAAAGGTGAGGAAGACGCACCTGTGCAGAAGGCGGCCTCCTCATTCCCAAGATCTTTGGTCGATACAGGCCCCCAATCCTGTGTCCATGTGACACTTACAGAAGCACAAAATCCAAACTGAGTGAGCAGGAACCAGCCATGGGGGGGAATCCCCTCTGCCCCTTCCAGCTACAGGGATAGCACACTTTTGCCCTTGGAGGGAACTGAGTCAGGGCTGGCCGCTCACTTGCTGGGAGGCTGCGGCAGGCTTCCTAACCAGGGCAGGGGTCCTGGGCCATCTGAGGGGCAGGCATCTCTGGAGGCTGGTGGAAGCTGCTCCCTGGTCCATGCTCTCAGGACTGGCCAGATGTGGAAACAGGAGGAAGTGCCAGGGGCTTCTTCCTTGCAGGGCTGTGGCCTGCACTCCTGGCTGGGCACAGCCCTGTCTGCATGGCTACTGGCAGGGAGCTGATAGGAACTGTGGCTTCAGTCAGTCCCCCCCTCCCTCCGAGGGTCACAGATCCTCTGGAGGGTGGCTACTTACATAGCAAGCCCCTGAAGACTCTGCCCGCCTGCCCACAGGGAGGACACGGAGCAGCCGGCGTCGGCCAGCACGAACGTGGTGGTGCGGCACGATGGCGCCATGCGTTGAGACACGCCGGCCATCACGCGCAGCTCGTGTTGTGTGGACGTGGCCGCCTTCCCTTTCGACGCGCAGCGCTGCAGACTGACATTTGGCTCCTGGACGCACGGCAGGCATCAGCTGCACGTGCGGCCGTGCAGAGACGCCGCCAGCCTGGCCGGCTTCGTGGAGAACGTGGAGTGGCGCGTGCTGGGCATGCCGGCGCGGCGGCGCGTGCTCACCTATGGCTGCTGCTCCGAGCCCTACCCCGACGTGACCTTCACGCTGCTGCTGCGCCGCCACGCCGCTGCCTACGTGTGCAACCTGCTGCTGCCCTGCGTGCTCATCTCGCTGCTCGCGCCGCTCGCCTTCCACCTGCCGGCCGACTCGGGCGAGAAGGTGTCCCTGGGCGTCACCGTGCTGCTGGCGCTCACCGTCTTCCAGCTGATCCTGGTGGAGAGCATGCCCCCAGCCGAGAGTGTGTCGCTCATCGGTGAGCGCGAGGGGCGCGCCCGTGTGTCTGTGTGTGTGTGTGTGTCTGAGTGGTAGGGAGGAGACCCCGGAGCACGACCACTTTTGGAGACAGAGGGGGAAGGGAGTGGCCCCCTGCAGGGATAGCACCCCTCCCCACCCCAGCAGGAAGCAGTCAGTGTTTTCTCAAGGCGCTGGTGGAAGGTCCACCTGCTCAGTGTGGTAATAGTAGGCAAAATGTACCGAGAGCCAGCTGTGCACTGCTGATCAGCTCAGGTAAGCCCTCCCTGAACCTGTGAGGTCGATGTTCTGGTTTATGCAAATGTGCAAGAAGGGACAGTGACCCGGCCCAGGTCGTGCCCATAGCTGTTCCACAGTTACACTTTTCTTTCTTTCTTTCTTTTTTACTTCCTTTTTTAATGATTTCATTATGTATTTGTAAAGCAGAGTTAGAGAGGCAGAGGCAGAGATACAGAGAGGTCTTCCATCTGCTGGTTCACTCCCCAATTTACCACAGGGGATGCTGCTTCCTCAGGTTCTGCCTCGGGTGCAGGTGCCCAAGGTCAGGGGCCATTCTCCACTGCTTTCCCAGGCCATACAGAAAGCTAGACCGGAAGCTGAGCAACTCAGCCTGAAAAAGGCCCCCACATAGATGCCGGCATTGCAGGCTGGAGCTTCAACCCTCTGCACCACAGCACCGGCCCAGAGCGGCACTTTTAGGGACTGTGGGTGAATGAGCTTCTGGCTGTGACAACTGTAGCTCCTGAGAATGCACCTGCAGGAAACAGGGGTGGAGAGAGCTGGACCCTTACCTCCCCCTGCTTCCCCGCACTGGGCTTGGTGGGGTGGGGTCCTGAGAGCCTCCTGGCTTGTTCCTGTTTGTGCACATGGGAAGCTGGGGCTACCCAGTGCTTGTTGGAGGCGCTGCCCACTCTCTGAGTCTCTTGCAGGCAAGCAGTACATGGCCACTATGACCATGGTCACATTCTCAACAGCGCTCACCATCCTTATCATGAATCTGTATTCCTGTGGTCCCAGTGCCCTCGCAGTGCCCGCCTGGGCTTGAGTCCTCCTGCTGAGACAGCTGGCACGAGGCCAGGATGTGTTTGTGAATAAGGGGAGTCCTGTGGGAAGTCCAGAATGCCAAAGTCGCCCCCCTGCCCACTGCTACCCGAGGGAGAGACTGGCCCCCCAAGAAGCCCTTGATGAGGCACGATGTCTGTGCCATCAGGAAGCCCTGCTGAGCTACGTGGCCACCACTGCCAGCACCTTCCACAGCCATCGGGATTCCCAGCGCTGCCATTAGGACTGGAAGCGCCTGGCCCTCATGAGGGACCGCTTCTTCCTGGGCATCTTCTTCGGCATGGCCTTGGTCATGAGCCTCTTGGTGCTGGTGCAGGCCCTGTACGGGTCTGGGTTGGGGCCTGTGACAGCTGCAGCACTGCAGACAGGGATGACCAAGGCCAGCTGGTGCCCAGCAGTCTCTCCCTGCTGCTCCTAAGAACCTGGGCCATCTTTCCTGAGAACCAGCGCTGCTGCTGCCATAGCCCACAGGGGGGCGCTTATCTGTGCAGCCCAACTAGGGCAAGTCCAGGGTCTGCCCTCCCCTGGTTCCTAGGGAGGAGGAAGTCGAGGGAGGCTCAGGACCAAGCTCAGTGGTGGGGACTGACGGGTTCAGGCCGCTGTCAGAGCTCTCGGTGGGAGTGCGGGACCACAAAGGCCAGCTTTCCTGTGCCTGGTGGTGGCTGTGAGAGGGACTGGGCCCTGCCTGTCCTCCCCTGGGACTCAGGGAAGAGTTTGGGATTCATGGCCTATTCCAAAGCAGGAGGCCACACCGACAATTGGCTGTGAAGCCCCAGCTGATAATAAACTGAGTGTGTACCTTGTGCCTGCCCTGTGTCCTGTCCTACCCTTGGGGCAGCAGTGGTGGAAGCCATGGATGTGGCTTGTCTCTTTAGAGACAAGACCTCAGCATTCATGGACTGGAGCGGAAGTCACAGCTTTGTCCTCAAGACAGAGACTAGGGTTTGCTGATCCCTGAGAGAACCTGCAGTTCCCTTTGCCCCTGTCTCCCAGGCTGGATCCAGTCCATGCCCATACCCCAGAGTGACATCTGAGAACCTAAGGTGTCCAAGGTGGGGACAGTGCAGGGAGCCGCTGTTCACAGGTATTTGTTCCTGCCTGGTTCCCACGTTTCCTGGCGCCATCTCTGTGTGTCAGAACAGTCCCTGCCCCATTTAGCTCATCGTTGGCCAAGGAAGTAACACGTGGATAGGTGATAGGGAAGCACCAGGGCCCTGTGGGAGCACAGAGGCAGGGCCCCTCCCCCAGCAGGTGGGAGAGGTCAGAGAGGGCTGCTGGGAGGGGAGAATAGGAGCCTCCAGGTGGACAGGTGATGCATTAGAGGGACCCCACTCTCAAATCCCTTCAGCCCTGACATGAGTGGAAGTCTCTTCTACGAGTGAGTTGCCGTCTGTCCTGGAGTTCACCCTGACCCCCTTTCACAGTCTCACACCTAGACCTCTGGATGAGGTGCAGTCCCCAAAGTGTCTTCTGATTTTCCACACCAGCAGATCTTGCAACTTGAGCGAGAGAGAGCGAACAAGCGAGATAGCTGGAGGTCCCAGCAGATGGGTGTGCCAGGGATCCTGGCTCTGTACACCTTGGGCGTGGCCAGCACCCGCAGAGTGGGCAGAGGCAGCAGGCAGGAATGTCCAGAGTCTGGGGGGTCAGAAGAGGCCTGGGCTTCCTGGGAAGGGCCCCACCGCAAGGAAGGTGAGCAGCAGCAGGAGGGACCAGGCTGTGGAGAGGCGCTCCTGAGCCGAGGCTGCAGACAGAGAGACAATGATCGGTTGGTTCGTAGCTGTGAAATTTGCTGGTACCCAGATTGTGAAGGGGTCTGACAGGAAGGGAGGAATTGAGGGAGCCAGGGAGACAGGTGAAGAGGGAGCTGGGAGCCCCAATTATTCAAGAAGGCATCAGGTCCTCGCTGCCACCTTCTGTTTCCACAGGGACACCACATGGTGTGTGGGAAATGGGCAGAGATGGGAGTGGGATTCCAGCGATGCTGAACTTGGCTTTCTGTTAGGAGAGGTGCTGGGCAGAACTGGAGTGGGGGAGGGTAGGGAAATGCAAAACTATTCTAGTAGCTGAGATTACATCATCAGAACTCAGAGCAGAGACCTGGCTTCCGGTTGTGGCTGCCCCCTGGGCCAGTCATTCCTGTCTCTGGCTCTCATTTTCTACCATTACCACCTGCTACTAGCCATGCAGACTGGGCTGCTCCCTGTTGAAGCCCCTGGGCACATCCTTCTGATTCCAAATCTGTCCAGTCCTGAGAGCATGGACAAGGGAGCAGCTGCCACCTGCCTGACCACAGGCTGCATTGGAACTTAGGAGCACAACGTCCCCTGCTGTCTCACCTCACCTCCCACCTCTAGCAAGACTACACGATCCCTATTGCTCTGTAAGTTCATGCCTCGCCTAAACTAGGAGGAGGCTCTAATTATTCTGGCACTGGTGGTGTGGGCGTCAGTACTGCAGTCAGAAATTAATTCCCTGCCACCCTTGGGGATGCCTGCCCTTTATATGGCCCAGGACCCCTGCCCTGGTCAGGAAGCCTGCCGCAGCCTCCCAGCAAGCAAGTGGCCAGCCCTGACTTGGTTCCCTCCAAGGACAGAGTGTGCTATCCCTGTAGCTGGAAGGAGCAGAGGGACTGCTCCCTGTGGCTGGTTCCTGCTCACTCAGTTTGGATTTAGTGCTTCTGTAAGTGTCATATGGACCTAGAGGACAGGGGTCTGTATTTGCCATGGGTCTCGGGAGTTGGGGAGGCTGCCTTCTGCACAGGTGTGTCTTCCTCACCTTTGATGTACTCGCAGTTGTATTTGCTGTGCTTGTCCTGTGCCTTGAGCTCGATGTGGACATGGCCGTTGGGCAGTGTTCTGGCCGTGATGACCCGGAAGGTCTCAAAGGGGGGGATCAGCACCTCCTCCTGCCAAGGGGAGGCGGAGTAGTTCTGGATCAGGGCCCCGTGGCAGGTCCAGATGCTGAAGAAGGTGTCCTCGCCGAACTTCTGGGCCACTTTTTTACTCAGGGAGGAAGAGGCAAAGCCCGCCAGCCTGACAGTGGCCCCGGGCCCTGATGTCCTGAAGCGCAGGCCTTTAACCCCCCGGAACACCTGATAGCACCCGGACTGCCGCTGTTCCTTTCTCAGCAGCTGCAGGGCCTCGATCAGCAGGAAGTGCAGGGTCTTGAAGGAGAAGTGCTGCAGGTAGTGGGCCCGGGAGTGGCCCGCCTGGCGCACTGCAGCATTGAACTCCCTGTACAGGAGGCTGTTGTTTGTGTAGGCCAGCAGGGCCATCCCGTGCTTGTCCTGGAATCCTTCAGGCAAGGCAGGCAGCCTTGCGGGGCACTGGTCCTGGAGCTCACGCCACTTGCGGCTTGCCTCCGCCCAGCCGTCCGCATACACTTTGTTTGCCCGGAACTCCATGAGTTGAAGATGTGGGAGGGCAGCTGTCATGGCTGCTTCACAGCCGACATACTCGTCATCAAAGGAGTCCAGGGCCATGTCCAACTCTGCATCCTGAGAGAAGAGGGATGGAAGTTTGGAGAGGCTCTGGGCCTGCAGGAGAAAGAGTGGCCAGATGCCTTGCGGCTTCTATTGCAGAGCATGGCATAAGGGGCCTCAACCCGAGGAGGCAGGAGGGCTGGACACACAGCCGCAAGCTCCCTGGGGACCCAGCAGGGGCTGTGCCCTCAGGCCAGGTGCTCCCAAGGTGGGCAGCACGGGGTCCTTCATCTCTCTGCTCCTCTTTCCAGGGGCAGGGAGAACCTGACAGCTCAGGTGCCTGTGGGGATGGGGCCGGTGGAGGACAGCCATACCTGAATTGCTTCCAGAAGGCCCAGGGACAGAAGGAGCAGATTCGCCACGGCAGGAACCCACATTCTGGTGGCCACCTGGTATAGTTGCTGTCTCCTTAGATTCTCACTTTCCTCACCTGGAAAACTATGGTTTTAAAACCTACACTTTAAAAAGCATCCACTGACACCTCGTCTGTGCCACCTCCACCCCTGCCCCGTGTGGCATAGAGCGACATGAGGTAGCAACGGTGGCTCGGGGAGGGGCCAGAGGACAGAGGACCCATCTTGCTGGAAGGGACACGGGACACTCTCTGGAGGTGACATGTGACTGGGGTGCTGACAGTGCAGGTGGGAATTCACCCACTGCCCACGCCACGGCATCAGCCACAGCACCTGCTTTTTGCTTTACATCTCTGTACATGAACAGGTCCCATCGTGACGTTAATTTTTAATGTTTTAAGGGCTGAATTGAAGTTTCTACAAAGCAATACATCTTCATTGTTCAAACTTTAAATGTCCCACACACTCTTTTATGACACAGTCTTTCTAAGCTCACCTCACAGTTCACAGGGTTCCCAATGTCTTATGGATCCTTGCAAGTCCATGAATGTGAAAGGAAACTCACTGGTATCTCTGTTTTCTTTTTCTTTTACACAGTGGTAATGCAGTCAGTAGCTCTAGAGTTTTTGGAGTCGGATGAAAGCTGAAAAATCCTTCACAACGGCGATGCGTACCTGACACCAACGGCGCATGACGTCATGCCCCCACTCTTATCTCCTCTCACTCCCCCCGGCTCTGGAGGGACCGAGCTTTGAGACCTCAGCGACCCTCAGACACTGGGACTGTGTGTCTGTACATCTACATCATCAGACCTCAGATCCTGTCATTGCTGTGTACAGCTCACAGGTGAGAACCGAGCTGCTCTGCTCAGTGGGGTAGCAGCAGAGTTTACCACACCCAGCGGGTCCCAAACTGGACCTGGGATCTTCCCTCCCTCAGGTCCTGCTTACTCATCTATCCCACAGACACCCTGTGGGCTAATGCAGCGTGCAGGCCCTGAGGGTAAAATTAGGAACCAAAACAGAACGCACATCCTTGCTGCCTTCAGGCTGTGGATGTGGGGATGAATGGGAGTTTGTCATTTCAGTAGTGGGTGACACACATTACCGAAGGAGCACAAAGGTCTTAACCTAAACACAAGTGTGCCAGCATCAGTGTCCTAATGGGAGGAAGCACACAGTGTGCAGGACTGCCAGAGGCCCCACGGTGTGGTGCATACCACAAGACACGCTTCCCCATGGCAGGATGCTGTGGCAGTCGTGGAGTGTGCGGCCCAAAATGACTCCATTCTTGTCTGTGGTCTCGGGACCACTTGAGAATCCTGATCAGCTCTACCAGATCCTCTCGTTTGCATGGAGATTCCGATCCCAGGGTTCAGGTGGGCTGAGCTCACTCTGTGAGCCCCCAAGTGCTGAGCACTTGACTCTGGCCTGGTGCTCTTAAGGCCTTGGCCATTGTGCTTGTTTCATGGCTGGATGTGACTCAGGCAGGCTCAGTACTGGCTTGGTTTGCATGTGCAGGTGTGGCTAACAGAGTGTACCTGAGCCTGCTGATTTCCCAAGCCATATACCCTGAGCTCACATTACAGTCCACACAAGGGCACGGGGGGATGGCTCTTGTGAGTGCTGGCAGCCTCCCACCTCCAGGCCTGCACAGACACCTCACTGCCTGAGGCTTCACCATTATCCTGGGCCAAAGGTGCAGGGAAGTTCCTCTCCAGAGGCCACCTGAAATCCCCTACACAGACAATTCTTGCACCGGAGTCCTTGTCACCCTGGTCTGCTTTGGGAGGAACCTGTACCAAGCAAGAGAATTTTCTCATTGGGTTCTAAAGCTTACAAACTGTCGACCAGAGCTGCCCCTTCAGCCTGGAGCCCGGGATGAATCCACAGCAGCAGGTCCCAGCCCAGTGTGCAACAGTAGGAGCCCAGGGGAGCAGGAGCGGCAGCCTGAAGCCGTCTAGTTCAGAGGAGCCGATCTACAGACAACCAGAGACGCGTGAGCACACGTGTTTGTGTGCTGCCGAGAGTCTGCGGCACACAGCAAAACAGGTCTGCACCAAAGCTCTCGGGGCCACTAAAGCTCTGACGACTCCTTTCTTGCCCTCTGCCCTGCAGAGAACAGGTGGAGAACGAGAGCGTCTGACCCTGCATAGGAGGAACTGTGGAGTGGGCTGAGGGCGTTGTCCCGTGGCCTAAGGAAAAGGAGCTGAGGCTGCACCCAGAGTCACCTGAAGAGTCTCCAGATTTCTCTCTGCTGGGCTACAGGGAGGAGAAGGCGGCAAGGTCAAGGGTAATAACATGGTTTCTATTCTCTGGGCTGCAAGCAGAGGAGACTTTATTTTTAAGTGAAGCTTCTCTTTTACTTCTGTTCACTTTATTTTTCTATTACACAGGGCATGCCTCTGCGGACACAGAACTGGGCAGTGTTTTTCTCTCTATTCCAGTTAAAGTGAGATGCAATCGGTGTGGGAAAGCACACCAGTGTACACAGGGTGGTGAGCTTCGAAATAGGCAACACGTGTGTCCTGTGCTCCCACTCCATCGTCCCCCGCAGAGTGTCCTGGGGGCCACTGTTTGAACTTTGATGTCACGGTGGCTTTGTGCAGGGAGAACGCCTCGTGGGAGATTGGCCCTCTGACACATGTTCCCTGTCGGCACTCTCCCTACAGAGAGACCCAAAGGCTCCTCTTGCTCTTATTGTAGGCCCAGGACGGAGCAGGTGCTCGTTAGTACATGGAGTGAATGATGATCAGGTGTGGAGGGAAATGGGGAGTTCTGTCTGGGAGATCTGAACTCGACAGGGGCCGGTGTGCAGGAGGGAGCAGAGTGGACACTGAGAGGAGACGGGGAGAGGCGCGGGGGCTTTGAGTCAGGGAAAGAGGGAGGAGAGGGCTCTGGAAGGGTGAGGCCAGAGCTCAGGAGCAACAAGGCTGCTCCCGGGTTCCAGGGCTCTGTGCGTTAGGCCTTGGGTTCCTGGAGATTTCCTGACATCTTGGGATTAAGTCCTCCCCCGGCTGAGTCTAGCTGGGATGGAGGGTGGGGGATGGGGGAATGTTTCCTGTCCCATTGGGAGTCTCGAGTCTCCTGTTCTATGATTTCCCAGTGACTATTAGGTCACCTGGGTATCCATTCATTGCATCATTCAACAAACCTTAATGGAATTTTCCCCTAGAGCTGTTCATGGGACAGGGCCCTCCTAGGTCCTCCTGCCCTTTGCTCACCCCCATGCCCTGCCCTGCTCAGGTCTGGGAAGCCCCCACTGTCCCCAGGGAGAGCAGCGGCAGCAGTGTCTGTGAGGCCCAGCTCTGGCCACGCTCTCTGCCTGTGCAGAACCTCTCTGTTCCACAGCGGAGCCTGAGAAATCTCTAAATGCAGAGTGAACATGGAGAGATGAAGTGATGAGGGCAGAGGTAGTCCCATCTAGGTAGAGCAGCAAACCCAGAACAGTCCCCGAACCAAGCACACGTCCCTCCACAGCCGCTTAGCCCGGCCTGTGAGCGCTCTGTGCACTGCCCTGCCTCAGCTTGGTGGCTCAGCCCCAGCGCCTGTGTGGCTGCTGCTTACAGAACAAACTCCCAGCCCCACCAGGCTCTGTCCTCCCTGTGGTCCTGTACTCATGGCCTCTCCTCGGAAACCCCCTCTCCCAGACGCCTCTGACTCCTCTGGGCTCCCACTGGGCTTGGCCTGTGGTCTTAGTTCCTCGTGGGCAGGACCAGTCATGTCCTATTCTGTGTCCCATTCTATGTCCCAGGAGCTTAGCCCAAGGCCAAGCTCAGTATGGACCCACAATGCTGCTGAGACTTGCTGGGCAAAGTCAACCATGTAGACCATTTCAAAGCAGGGAGACTGCTGGCCTTGATGACCAAGGGATGGTGTGGAGTGGGGCCGCAGGCACAGGAGGGTGTGGGAGTGGAAGAAGCAGATGCCCTGGGATGTCTGTTGCTTTGCACAGTCTTGCAGGCTCCCTTTTCTGCCTCTCATCCTGCCCAAGGCAGTTCTCTTGTCATCTACCCTGACCCAGGCCCGCACTGAACAGGCCACCTGCTAGTAATGTGACACACGCACCAGTTATCTGTAGTGCACTGTTATCTGACTGACCAGAGCTGTCTGCTCGGGGTGATTAGGCGTGTCTCCCTGAGAGCTGTTAGGCATTGCCTCAGCTCCTGACTTATTATGAATAACTCCACTTAACTTTTATTTTGGGGCTAGTGGTAACTTTTTAACTCAATGTTTTACTGTGGAGTTTCCACAGTTCACCTCCTTTTCAGGTAAGTGGTGATCCGTGACTCTATTTGAGACTCCTGTGGGATTCCCCACACTTTATACTGTCGGTCCCGCCCCTCCCCTCTCAGCTGCTCAGAAGTGCGAACTCCCCCCTCTTTCTGGTGTCTTCTTGAGGCTCAGGAACCCTCACCTCAGCCCATCTGACCTGGGCCAGTGCTGCTCCTCGGGAGGAAATCCGGCCACAGGGAGAGACAAAGAAAGAAAGAGCCCCCTCCCCCACACACACCTTGAAAAGTGGCTGCCCCCAATTAACTAGAGAAACAGCTTCCCCCGTTAGCTTGTCTAGTGTCAAAAGATGTCCTGAGTTCTGCTTCTGTAACTCCAGTCATTAATCTGTCCAATAAATCTGCCCCTGGTATCTCTTTTACAAACATACTAGATAATGGACCATATTCCACCTGCACAAACAGGAACAAGCCAGGAGGCTCTCAGGACCCTCACCCCACCAAGCCCAATGCGTGGAAGCAGGGAGGGCATAAGGGTCAAGTTCTCTCCACTCCGATTTCCTGCAACTACATAATCAGGAGCAATGGTTTGTCACAGCTGGAGGCTGCGTTACCCACAGTCCCCGAAAAGTGCCGCTCTGGGGCCGTTGCTGTGGTACAGAGGGTTGAAGCCCCAGCCTGCAGTGCCGGCGTCCTGTGTAGGTGCCTTTTTGAGTCCCAGTTGCTCAACTTCCTGTCTAGATTTTGTTATGGCCTTGGAAAGCAATAGAGGATGGCCCCAATCTTTAGGCAC